AAATAAATGAATAAAAGCATTTAAATAGTGGAAAACTGGATCTGAGGCAGTTAACTTAGTTGATAGACACACAGCAGTAAAATCAAACAGAAACCCACAAAACTCAAAAACCAAACAAAAGAAAGCATGCAGAGAGGCAACTCACAGACTGACAGTAAACAGAATCATACATGCACCCAAAGATGCCTGAATCAGTACTTAGTAGATGCCTTAAAAAGCTGAGACTGGGAGTAGCCTGGAATACCAGGTAGGGCCAATAAAATCAATCACATGGGTCCTTAAAAGCAGAGCGCCTTTCTCAGCTGTGATTAGAAGAAAGTGAGTAGGAGATACAGTGTTGCTGACTTAAAAGGATATGAGGTTGTACACCAAGGAATGAGAATAGCCCTAAACATTGAAAAGGAAAGATTCTCCCCTGAAACCTCTGAATAAAATGCAGCTCTGGTACCACACTGATATGAGCTCAGTGAGATGAGTATCAAGAGTTTTCAACAAATCGACTGAGAACACATTTATCTATACAAATGTGCTTGACACAATGGATGGATGGATGGATTGTGATAAGAGTTGTACGCGTCCCAATAAAATGATTAAAAAAACAAAACACATTTATCTTGTTTAAAGCCACTAGGTTTGAAATAATCCCTTACTGCGGCAATAAAGACTAATACAAACAAAAGGGCTTCAAAGAGTTTGTGGAAAAATGAAAGGAAAAGATATATTGAATATACAACAGTAATAGGATGATTAACGGTCATTGCAATCAGCACTGCAGTACATTACACTGTGTGTCCATTACTGAGCATGATTATTAACGTGCACTGTCAGTTGCACCTTTAATTTCCCTGTCAGTATCCAGTCTAGCAACAGTGGAGTGCTGTGGGTACACAGTACAATCCAACAGTGTACAGAGAATGCTTTGTGCAGTAGTCCAACTTGGGTTATCATGAGTATCATGACACTGACCACTTACAATGACTAGCAGTAGTTACCAATAATAGTATTATTAGTCCCTCGATAAAATACATTGCACTGTACCAACATAAACTTGTTATATTAACTAATTACACACGCTAAAGATTTGCTTTTTTGTTGTTTTAACAAATCAAGCAACCTAAGAATACTTTTCAATACGATCTCTAGGAACTTGGTGTTAATTGTAGTTTTATAAAAGTAGTCAGGGTTAGAACTAATTTTAAGAGATTAAATGAACGGGGGGAGGGAAAAAAAAGATAAAACGCAGTAACTTACCTATTATTACCACAGGCAAAGTCACTGACGAATCTTCAAGTAAAGAAGTTTCTTCAACTAATGGCATTGCTTTAACCTTTCGCCCCAAACTATCACCAAAATATTGCACTAAGGAATTAAAGATCTCTCCTTTGGTTTCAGAGTCATTGTAGTTCCTTTTAAAAAACATAGGGCACAAACAAACTACGTCAATATAACCTTTAGAAAATTCAGTCTTTACTCAGTTTTTTCTAACTTGACTCTTACATTTATTTAGGCCATAAATATTTCTGTAGAAAAAAGGAAATCCTTTCAATTCATACTTTCATATTGGTAGCTGAGCACCCTATCAACCTAAACCATTTGAAAGGCCCAAACCCTACCTAGCTGCCAACCTCCTTAGTACCTTGCAGGCAAGTCCCTATTGAATAAGCTCTCTTTACAACCCAAGGGGCCCTAGGGATGCAGTGGGCTAAATGCTGGGCTGCTAACCACAAGGTCAGCCAGGTCAACTCCACCAGCTGCTCCACAGGACAAAGATGAAGTTGCCCGAGTCCATGAAGTTTTGTTTCTTTAAACTGTGTATTAGGTGAGGGTATATATTTCAGATCAACTTTGTCTTCAACATATTAAACCAATCATCCCCCAATACTTTACCCCTCCCTCCCCAATCCTTGGTTTCTCTTCTCCCTCTTATAGACGACCATCTTCTACTTCAACCAAGTTAACACCCCATCTAGTTTCTGTGTAGCCTATTGCTCTATCATCCCTAATGGATAAACAATGCATCACTATAAAACAAAGATGAAACTTCAAAGCACCTCATGACATGGATGGATGTGGAAACCATTATGCTGAGTGAAGTTAGTTAATCACAAAAGGCCAGGTATTGTATGCAATCTGTTTTAAGGTGGGGAAACCCAAGATAAGAACTTTCACACCAAAGGAACAGAATTTGAAGTTCTGTAAAAATTCAGTCTCCTAAACCCCGCTGGTATAGTGATTTCACACTGGGCTGCAATCCCAAAGATCAGTCCCAAACCAGGAGCTGTACGGAGTTCCAGTCTCACGGACTCAGAGGCAGTTCTACCCAGTCAATAGGGGCGCTATGAGTCAGCATCCATTTGATGGCAGTAAGGTTTTGTTTTGAAACCCAAGGGAGCAGTTTTACTTTGCTCTATAGGGTTGCATATGAATCAATTGACTCAAGGACTGTGTTTAGCTTCTTTTTGTTTTGAACCCCATAGACGTAGGGATTGTATTGACAATTTTCCCATTCTGACATCTCCTAGGAATAGCTAATTTCTCATCTACTACACTGTCCTGGGCTGCTCAAAACACAAACTCATCTACCTTTGAAGAAGTATGGCCAAGGTGGTCCTTGAAAGCAAGGATGGTGAGACTTCCTCTTACATCCTTGGGGCATGTTGTCAGAAGAGATCAGTCCTTGGAGAAGGACATCACCTTTGGTAAAGTGGAGGGGCAGCAGAAAAGAGGACTGTCCTCAGAGATGGACGGACACCAAGGCTGCAACGACAGGCTGCAGCATAGGAATATTATGAGGGTCCAGGCAGTTTCCTTCACTTGTGCACAGGGTCACTCACTATGGGTGGGAAGCAACCCAACGGAACCTAATAACAACACACTGTCCTGGATTATTCCTCCAAAGGGTCTTCCCTGCACACACTCCTCAAACCCCTTTGAATGCTTCTGGCTACCCAAGGCTGTGTAGTATCTTCATTGTAGCAAAGGCCAAAATTCTTTTTCAGATATGCAGATCTTATCTCCACTCTCCCCCCAAACACCCCGACCTCAGACACCACTGCTTTCAGATAGAACCTAGGAATAAAAATGATCCCCTGGCACCACTCTAGAAACTGACAAGTACAAAGATGCTGATTTCTCTTTAAACAAACAAACAGATGATCCTCAGCAAATGAAGGCATTTTAGGAATCACTGGGTGGCAAAAATGGCTACCCGTATGACTACTAGCGGAAAGTGTGGCAGTTCTAACCCACCCAGAAGAGACATGGCAGGCAATCCACTAACCAAAGGTCAGACCTAGAAAATGTATACAGCAGTTCTACACTACACACAAGGGATCACTCAACAACTAAAACCACCACATTTAACGTTAAACGCAAAACCCAATGGTCTAAAATGTCTTGCTGTGCTTTTTTTGTTTTTGAATTTTTAAGTCTACAAATAAATGATGCAGAATGAATTCTCAAGATTCATTCCTCAGGAACAAACCAGAACGGATTCACTATTTTTAGCACTAAGAGTGTTTATTTACAATCCAATAGTCTTTCATTGGAAGTTACTATGGATTGAATTTTGTCCCCCTCAAAATGTGTCAACTTGGCGCAGTCATCATTCCCAGTATTACGTGGTTGTCGTCCCCATTTTGTGGCCCGATGTAATAATCCTGTATTTGTGGTGTGCTGTAAATCCTAAACTCTTTCCTAATATCTTGAGGCAGGATCAGTATGTGGTATATCTTCAGTTTCACCTTTATTCAAGTCACCACCCTTACTCAAGTCAGTTTTTAACTTGCATGACAGATATATAGGAAGGAGAAGGGTTTCACAACTACCAAGAAAAGAGTCAGGAATGGAACGCACCCTTCAGACCCAGGGTCCCTGTGCTGGGGACTTCCAAGACCCAGGGGAAGGCAGATGCCAGGCACATGGAGCCCACGGGGCCCATAGATGTTGAAAGGAGACATGGACCTTCCCCAAGAGCTGGCACCCTGAATTCCGATGTCTAGCTTCCTAAACGGTGAGAAAATAAATTTGTTAAAGCCAGCAACTTTAACAAGTTTACAACAGCAACAGATCACTAATAAAATTACAAACTCAATTTGTATATACTTCATTACTAGGAGGCATTTAATATAAGTCAAGGTGTCTCAAACAATTTTTTACTGGCAAATCTCAGAGGTTTATTATTTTTATTGTAGCATTACGGTGACCCCGTGTGTGCTCAGTGGGGTCTGGAAGAGTGGGACCTTTCAGAAGCAGTTCACCGGTCCTCTCTTCTAAGCGGTGTGCTTTCTAACTGCCACCCAATCAGTGAGTCGGGGAGCACCTAGCTGAACGTGCCACCCAAGGAATTGACAGGATGGTAGCAGGTTTTTCACATGAGGGAGCTTCAAAATTCTCATGGGAAAATCCCATTATCTTTTAATGCCATTTTCCTACAAATGTTTTGAAACCCCTTTATATATAATAAACAGGAGACCTTGTCAAGTAAGCACTGGACTGCTAAGGGCAGGATTGGTAATTCAAACACACTAACTGCTCTGCCAGAGAAATGTGAGGCTGTCTACTCCTCTAAAGACGGGAAGACTAACAACGCCTCAGAAATCCTATGTAGTAGGGTAGCCATGATTCAGATTCAGCTCAATGGCTGTTCACATATGTTACGATCTATAATATAAATACCTTTAGTGTTTATTATACCTATAGCTTTAGTACTTGTTATTCCATAAAGCTCTTGGTGAGGGGAAGCCTTTCCTTTCTTAAATTCTATCTAACCTGGTCTAATTGTGCCTCTTAAACTTACTCCGCTCTCGAGCCCTTTTTGCCTGAAGAAATTTGCAACAATGGCAAACATTGCCAGAAGCACCTCAGATTCATTATCCATTTTATTTTGAATTAATTTTTGGTTTTGTGCATCTAGATGACTACTTAAATATTTACAGTCATCCAGTCAAGGAGTGGTAGCACTGTGGTCAAGGGCTTCACCACCAACCAAAAGGTCAGTATTTCAAAGGACAAAGGTGAGACAGTCTTTGTCTGCAGAGATTACAGTTTTGGAAACTACAGAGCGGTCTGCTCTGTTCTCTAGGGTCACCATACATGGAAGCAAACTGAGCATCTTTTCAAGTGTTATTGTATATCTTCATTGGAAAACTCTCTTGTCAAATCCTTAGCCCATTTGTAAATTGATCTTCTTGTTGGAAAAAGTTCTTTTTAGATTCTAGATACAAATCTCCTTTCAGGTGTGTGATTTGTAAATATGCTCTCCTGTTCTGCAGGGTATCTTTTCAGCTTCCCTGGTGGTGTCCTGTGAAGAACAAAACATTTTCATTTTGATGCAGTCCAATTTATGTCTTTTGTTGCTTATCCTTCTGATGTCTTACCTAAGATACCACAGTCTAGCTCAAGGTCACAAACAATTTGCACCTACTTTTCTCCTCAGAGTTGTATCCTTTAGGTTTTTACATTCAGACTTTTGATACATTTTGAGTTATGTGTAAGACAATACAACTTCATTCCTTGCGACAAAGGTATTCTTTCCCATTGGAACTCTCTTGGCACCCTAGCTGAAAACCAACTGAACATAAACGTAAGAGCTTATTTTTGAATTCTCAATTATATTCCATTGACCTATATATTTATTCTTATGCCACCACGCTGTCTCAATTACTGGAGCGCAGTTCTGTTTTGGAAGTTGTGAAGTATAAGTCCTCCAACTTTGTTCAGGATGGTTTGGGCTATTCTTGGATCCTCACCACTCCCACATGCTTGTCAAAGGTGGGCAGCTGGGTTCCTGACAGAGATTGCACAAAATGTGTAGATCAATCTGAGGGGTCTTACCATCATTAACAGTATTATATTGCCTAATCCAAGTACAAAAGATTTCTTTCCATTTAATTAGGCCATCATTAATTTCTCTCAGTAAGCTTTTGTAGTTTTTGTATGTATCTCTTCCATTTCTTTTGGTAAATATGCTCCTAAGAAAATTACTATTTTTCTATGCCATTGTAAATGGAATTACTTTACTAATTTCATGTTCAGGTTGTCCATTGTTTGTGCATAGACATACAACTGATTTTTGTTCCTTGCGATATTTCTGAATTTATTAGTTTTAGTGGTTTCTGTGTGTTTGTGAGCTAAAAAATTTTGTCCAACTATCCAATCACCCAAGTACAGTAAGAAGAATAAAAGTTTAGGCTTCTTTAAGTTCACTACACAGTGTAACATAATTTCTCCTGATTTTAAAATAACCAATGGTTAAATCTGTGTGACAAATTAGTCATAATAAAGGTGCCCACCATTTGATAAATGTAATACCGGCTCAACATAGACATCACAACAACTCTGCATCAAGGCAAGCACACAAAATCCGAAGTCTAGCTCATTGGTTTTTACATCAAGCACCAATGAAACAAGGGCCTGCAGCACAACTTGGGATGACGCTTTCCAAAAACAGCAGAGCGTAAATTTCAGATTTAGTATGGTTCCTGCCGTTTTAAAGTCCATGCACACTGTATCACAGCCCTAATGACAGTGTCACTTTCCACTCTGGATATTCAACTTGCTAAATATCTACTCTACTTAAAAGTATTTGAGTAATTCTACTTTTAAGATTAAATACACTTTTCCTGAATTTGAGGCACCAGTTAAATTAGAAAGTATATAAAATTATCATTTAGGATATACTAAGAAATAGCACTTTTTAAATGGGAAAAATAGTATTCCTAGGCATCAACAATTGAAAGGCGATTTAAAACTTAAGGATGATTTTAGGGGATTCCCTATTTGTTGTTATTGAAATATTAAAGTTCAGGGCTTCAAAACCAATTTTAAAAGATGACACAGGCATAATATTTGAGTATCAACATTTTAAATCCTAACAACGCTTCTTTAATGATTACTCAAACTCAAATGAAATGCTTTGTTTAATTTGAGTAGTTTTGGGAAGCATGATCCTAAACTGTGACCAAATTGAAAGCACAAGAAATGTGAAGTCACACGTCAAGTTAGTCACACTTTTCATCAAACAATTTTCATAATGCTTATAGCCGCTCATATTTTAACAAGATCCAAAATATAGATGTTACAAGTTATCTTTTCAATGTGTCTTACTAATGAAACTGCTCAAAGAAAAGCATTGGTAACAGGAACATTTCTCTGCTAGAGCTGACAAACTATATATACATGTTTAATTTTAGAGCATTCTTCACAATGAAAAAATGTGGCTTATTAGTCATAATTTTTATCTTCTGGCTGGCACACTCTGGTTTTCTGTCTCAAAAGACCAAAATATAGGGAATACATTCTTATCATCTCTTCCTCTGTATTTACACAGTTACAAAGATAGTGAATTCAGTCTAGGGTTAACTAAATGTGTGTGAAAGGCATCTGGGTTTCGGGGCACTCCAGTTTAACAAGATTTCAGTCAGAAAATCTTGTTCTGGAAACTCTGCAGAGGAAATCTGATAAAAATTTTGCAAAGTGAAACTTGATACTCTGAAAACCACTGTCTGTGAAGGGGTCGATAGATTTGCCTAGAACTTACACAATACAACACTTTTAAATATATCCAGAACCCACAGATTCGTACAAAACTTCCTGAAAGGTAGGCAAATTTA